ACCCTAGGGTTGGCATTTCCGGAGTATCCGGGACTCCGTTTTACGATCCGTCGAATCCTACATGATCCTAAGGATGTCTAGATTAACATACTGTAACTTGGAGTCAATCCAACGGTCTGAACCTATCAAACCCGGATAACACATAATAGGCGATATCCGTTTGAGACTCAAACGACGTCCGAATCGAGATCCGCGAATTCCTACGCACTCGTGACAACCTGAGGATCTCATCAGAAGGCATTGCAGCTCCACCACTTTTGCCCACGCACCGCCACACGGGCCGGCAGCGCGTGGGTGTGTAGAGTAAATTCCGGCAATGGAAAATCTCCACATCTCGGCTCAAGACTCCTACCCTAGGTAAAACACCCGATTTGGAGTCACTTTTGTTCTTGGACCTACCCCAAAAACTGACCGGAAGTGGCCGAAATCTCCCCTCGAAACCCGACCGAAATCCAATTCGTAAATCGAGTTGCCTACGCTACAAATTGATCAATTCCTACCTAACAGGCAGCTAGAGCTCGGAAAATAGGTGAGAAACCATACTTCACTTGCTGGAATCGGTGGCCGGACGACGGAGAACGATGCCGGCGAAGTTTCTGTCAAAACCGGAGCTTTTCTCCTCGTTTTCTGGCGAAATCAAGGCGGCTGGCGGCTGGACCTGGCTGGGGTAGGAAGAGGACGGCGGCCCGATCATTTTGGTACCGGCCCCGTCAACTTTGGTGGCCGGATGAGCGAACGGCCGGCCAAAAAGTGGCCGGCTGTGGTGGCTGTTGTGAACCAGAGGAGAGAGAGACAGAAAAACGCGCGGGAGGAGAGAGAGAGAGCTGAGGGTTATTTCTGACTTTTAACAAAAACCCTTTTCAAAATATTTACAGTTGTGCCACTGAGGATATTTGGATCGTATCTCTCTCGTTACAGCTCCGATTCAAGCCCACTACGCGTCTACGGACTCATCTCGCCGCGCTCTACGCAATGGCACAGCCGGAATTCCCAAATTCCTTATAAATAAGAAAATGACTAAAATACCCCTATCCTACGGTTAAATTCGTAATTTCGCTCAAATTAATTAAAACAGAGGATAAGTTTGGAGTCGGGGTGTTACATATAATGACATATGAAGACATGCAAACAAATATAGATCATATTCATGTTTATTGTAGATAATTTACATTTGCGAGAAGGATCAACCGTAAATATAGCTATAAAACAACTTGGATAATATAGATAAATATAAAGTTTTGAAAATGTTGAGAAGGGACAAGTGACCATTGTGGGCCTTGATTGGCTCCGCCACTGATTCTAATATGAGAGAGAGGTGTGGTGGAGAAGCAGAGACGCATAGCACGTTTTTTGCCTTGCCAAAGAATAAAGAAGAGATTTTTTTTTTTTTTGGACCGGAGAGTCAAGAAGAAGTTGGGAAGAAGTAAATTTGGAGTCAAATGAAGAAGAGTGATTTGGGAATAGCAAGAAGAGCACACTGCATGCACACACAACTCACGGAGTTTTTTTTTTTTTTTTTCTAATTTCTTAACACTTGGAACAAAAATCTGCAAGTTAGAAGCAAAAAGTAATGTTTTGAAACAAAAATTTGCTTAAAACGAAAAGTAGCAAAAAATATATAATATAATACTGGGCTTCTAAAAACATTTGGAGGTCATGTGCGGTCGCATTGCCCGCATATGCCATGGGCCGCCTACTAGTTATATAGTCTAATTCACCAAAAAAAAAAAGATAGACAAACAAGGCACTAAGACCAAGTAGTAATACACTTGCTATAACGAGAATGCATAATCTGCAAGTGCTTGCCATGGAGAGAGAAATTTTTAGACACACTTCTTCAATCCGCTAGCTAGCTTTGGTCAAGCAGCTGCTGCAATTCTATTGTCACGACGGCTTAGAGGTCAAAGCCGCGTTTGACAGGAGCTTGATAGATATATGCCAAATCCCTTGGACCCGCTTTTGCATATTGCCAATGAATTTCTTCCAAGTGATCATTGACGCGAAGGCCAATTCCATGCTCTGAATTGGAAGTGCGGGACAATGGCAAGCTGAAGATTCTTTGTTGAATATTGGTCAAAATTATTGTTTAGTCAAGTGTGTGAGAGCCACATTATTATTGTTTGCTAGCTTCTACCTTGTGGCAATTTCGTGGGCTTTGCGGGGAAATGATGGGACATGCCATCTTTGTCAAAAAGCAGGTGACAAAGAGGGAAGCGGTGCCTCAAATCATGTAGGAAAAGCTTTGAATGTTTGGTGGCCTGCTACCAGCCTAAACCCTGAAAAAAATGAGCCGAACTGGGCTGGGCTTACTGGTTCAACCTAGCTAATATCTTTTTTCTCTGTTTTTCCATGTTCATAGTTCTCTGGAAGTGGACACTACATCAAATCAATGTTTTTTTTTTTCCAACTCCAAGTTCAATAAAAAATTAGAGTGAGCAACCTGTGAATTTAAAACAATAAAATGTCAAGCCTCTATTCTACACGCCCTTTTTTTATAGCCTCCTCCAAGTTCTTTGTAAATGATTTTGTATCTTTTATGGTAAAAGATGGACAAAGATTAATCTGCCATTGCCAAAACAGAGCACATGCTTATTGCTGTGAAAATATCTTAGTCATTATTGGCTTGAAAGAATCGCTACAGAGCACATGCTTGAAGGTTCAGAGAACCATCATCAAATACAATTAGTGCACGGAATAATAGTAGTGTCCTCATACATAGATGATGAGTTCACTGCCTTTGCACACTTGAAGAAAGTTATAGGTGTAGTACTTAAAGGGGAGGGAGAATACAATTCGAAAAACGAAGTGAAGTTGTAATGGGACAACGAAGTGAAGTTGTGGATGCCACCGCAGGAAGACGAGATGCACTTTCCATTGCCGTTGTTGTGCATAACTGTAGTAGATTCGTAGATTAATTGAGAAACAAGCAAATTGCTATTACGAGAGATTTTAAGACACTCCTGCAATTCACTCGCTCTGATGAAGCAACTGCAAGCATTTGTATTGCTGCCTTTGCGTTTTGTGTGGTGCTTTATTGTCACTACTTATTGGTATCGAGCATTTGCTGATCATTTTGTTAATGACTTTCTTCCATGTGATCACTGGTGCAAAGGCCAATTCCATGCTCAGAGAATTGAAGTGGGCGACAACTCTCATATAACGGGATAACACTTTTTGTTATTCCCAACTAATAATGCAATAGCATGTATAATAACTTTTTCACATGTCATTGTGTTATTGGTTTGGGATAGCAAAATAGTATTATACCCGTTACATGTAAATTTTTACTAAAACTGGCCTACTTAGCATTTTCCAAAAATAAATAAATATATGAGATATGACTCAGTGGCGGTGGTAGTGATTATGACAACGAGGGAGATGCTTGTGGTGGCAGAGGAGCAAAACCACATAAGTATTTGTTCAAAATGATAATAAAACTGAAATTAGCTCAAACCCATATATTTCCCTTATTAGCTTAAATAATAATAAAACTGAAATTAAAGTTGAAACTCTAGTTGAGTCCTACTCATCACCTAGCTGACAGAGTACTACATGATAGCTCTGTGTTAGAACACATTGGATTCGAATTAGCATGAAGATTGTCTCTGGGCATCTCTTGTTGTGGATATAAAAGAAGCTGGGGAGGGAGCTGCAAGCATTCAACCTCTCCCTCAAGCATCTCTATAACTTTGTTCATCGAAGGACGATCACTTGGCTTCAATTGTATACACCACAAAGCAGTTATAATCATCTTTTTTATTATTTTCTTTTCCTCTTCTGTGGCATCATCCATCTCAAACTCTTTGCCCATGCAAAATTGGTCTGAGACCCAACGAGGAAAATAAATTTGGCTTGAATGCTCTATGGATGCGTTCAAATTCTTCCTTCTACTTGCCATTTCCATCAACAACATTCCAAAACTATAGACATCAGCTTTGTATGAGACACCTCCAATATTTTTGTAAAACAACTCAGGAGCCATGTATCCCATTGTTCCTCTTGCTGCCGTCAAAGAGACGATGGTATTACCTACCGGATATAGCTTTGCAAGCCCGAAGTCAGAAATCTTTGGGATGAAATTCTCATCCAGAAGAATATTGTGAGGCTTGATGTCAAAATGTAGAATTTGCATGTCACAACCTCGATGTAGATATTCGATCCCTTGAGCCACTCCAAGAGAAATCTCATACATTTTCCTGCAACTTAAGGGGTTGCTTCCTTCTTTGCAATAAATGTATTTATCAAGAGATCCATTTGGCATGAAGTTATAAATTAAGGCACGCTTTGATCCCTCAACACAATAACCAACAAGTTGAACCATATTAAAATGGTGAATCCTCCCAATAGTAGCTACCTCACTTATGAAATCTTGTCCATTAGCTTTAGGATTCTCCAACATTTTAACTGCTACAAATCGACCACTGCGTAACTTTCCTTTAAATACAGAGCCATAACCTCCTTCACCCAACTTCTCATTGAATCTAATGGTCATCTTTTTAATATCTGAGTAAGAGTACCTTATTGGACTGAGATTGTTATCACTTTGCAGGAAATCTTCTATGCTGCTATGCATTGACAAATGCATTCTTCGCCGTTTGTAGATTAGAAGAGCAGCCAGAAATGGAACCCCAAATATAGATCTTATTGGGAAAAATGCTCCTGCAAAGCAACATCACAAAAAGAATCACAAATGACATGCTTTATTGGATATAATATATGTGCGTCATAGCCTTCCTCTTTGCTTCCATTTGTTTTTTCTCCTAACTGATAGGCAATTCGGCACTAAAGGAATATGCAAACTCTTACCGAGTATCAGCCAATCGTAAATATCTGCAAGAGATACAAGAAAAAGTGACCAAAATCAAAGACTTGACATAAGTTTGAAATTTCGAAGCACAAATATATATACTCTGCCCTGCTTAATGGTTGACTAAGACTAATTAGCAGACTACATCATATGAGGAAGGTAAAGAAGAGAGAAAGCAATTAAAGTAGCCGGACAAAATACAAGTAATAAAACTGTTTAAAATTGGTAGAATTTTTATTTTCAAAGAATATTTGGCGTATTTTCTCCATATGTCTTTCTGGTTTTCAGCCCTGTATCGCCTTATTTCAAGTAAAACTAAACAAAACAAATTATTGAAAATGAGAAATAAAGCGTAACAAAATGTCATGGATGATAGATTTAAACAAGTGACATTTGGAGAAATTCAGAAAGTTCGAGTAAGAAATTGTAGACTTGGAATATAGCAAGTAATTCACAAACCAAATTTGTAGCTGCTGGTCCTGCCAAAGCGGAATTGAAGCTCAAAGCCATACCCCAGTGCGCTGTGTATGTCATGATAAGAAAAGTTTCTGTCCTTTCCGTACAAGAACGACTTACTCATCAAAGTCGTCCACTCTATTCTGCACCCGTCCTCCATATCTGATGCCGTTATATTCCCTTGCTTGACATAATTATACGTTCTCATCACAGATGAGTTCACTGCTTTTGCACACTTGAAGTAAGTTATAGGTGTTGTACTTGATGCTAATTGAAGATCATTGTGAGTTAAGTTGTAAATGGAAAGCGAATAACGGGGGATGGAGGAGAAATCATTGTTGCGAATGCCAGGATCTACAACTCGGATTGTTAAGTTGTCGTAGTTGATTGCCTGCACAAAGTAGTTTCCTGAATCTACTTCCAATACTGTGAGGTTGTTGCGACAAAAGAGATAGTAATTCCAGTTCGTGCAGTTTCTTTGATTTGGATTGTTGGCTAGTCGAAAAGGGCTGGTTATGTTGTGGATTTTACCGCAGGCAGACGAGATGCACTTAGGATGGCTCTCCGGAATTAATATACTAGTTGTATAGTCTAATGCACCCAAAAAAAGATAGGCAAACAAGGCACCAAGACCAAGCAATAATACACCTACTAGAACGAGAACACATATTCTGCAAGTGCTTGCCATGGAGAGAGAATTTTTAGACACACTTTTTGAATCCGATAGCTAGCTTTGGGCAAGCAGCTGCTGTATTTCTATTGCACGACCAAAGCCGCGTTTGACAGGAGCTCGGTAGTTATGTGTCAAATCCGTGGACCTGCATTTGCATATTGGCAATGACTTTCTTCCAATTGATCATCGATGCGAAGGCCAATTGCATGCTCTGAATTGAAAGTAGGGGACAATGGCCTGTTGAAGATTCTTTATAAATAAATAAATAAAAGGTAATTATTGTTGAATATTAGCCCAAATTATTGTTTAGTTAAGTGTGTGGGAGCCACTTTATTATTGTTTGCTAGCTTTCTACTTTTTGGCAATTTCGTGGGCTTTGCGGGGAAATGATGGCACAGGAGTTGAAATGGTAGCCTTTTCTGGTCTAATGGTGACCTTTTCTGGTCTAATGCCGGCATCATAGTCTCATAAAAAATGATACGATATAATCAGATGGATATTTGGTTGCTAGAAGAAATCCATGGGCAATGCATCAAGTCAAAAATAATGCTCATATAAAATCTTCGTTTTGCAAATAAAAATATACAGTCCCCTTCTATTGAAGAAATCCTGAACCCTAATATATACAGTCCCCTTCTATTGAGGGATCTTGCAAATAAAAATTATTTGAGGGATGCCCTTTAGGGTACCCTACAATTTTTTTCCCAATAATCCAAACAATCTATTTTTTAGGTCTTCATTAATAGATCATCCTTACAAAAAATTAGACAAATCAGAAACCGTTTCGACATCCAATTGTATCTTACAAAATCAACGAACACGGTTCTTCAATAAAGTACTAAAATTTCAACAACTCAATTGAGTGGTAGAATGATATCGGATTCAAGTGATTTTTTTGTAGAGATGATCTTTGAATGAGTATCTACAAAATAGACGTTTGGATTAGTGAAATACAATCCATAATGGGGCCTACAAGGGGTGTCTCTCAATGGAAGCTCTCTGTATATATATATAGGGTTTAGGGCCCAGCCTCTTAAGAGCAAAAATTTTAATCAATTTTTTGCTTTAATTTATGCGCGGAAGGTAGTGTAGAGACGTAGAGAATAAACAAAATAATTATCAGAAATTCAAACATGTAAAGCCAAAACCAAGGATAAGAATATAACGAAACTAAAAACGATATAAACGATAACATTAATATTTAGCAAACTTACATAAAGGCAGAAGGGCAGTAGTGCTTAACAGAAGCTTCGCAGAAGCAGCACTTGGAATAAAAACACTCTAACACTCAAGCACTCAAACACTCAAAAGTACGTAGTTTATTTCTAGAGGCGATGATTTTTCGGTGATCCCAACTGAGGAGAGGTCCTCCTTTTAAAGCCTCGGGCTGTTGTCGTGTCAAATAAAGACAAGAAGTCACAAAGCAGCCTACAGTAGAGCGGCATCTTCACTTTGAGGATTCTTGCTGAACTTTCCCGCAAACAGCCAAAGAGAAAAAAGCACACTTTTACAAAAGTGAAATCTGAGTTAAAGCAGGAGAATCTTGCTTTAACTGGATAAAGAGAAAAGCAAAACTACAGGAAAGCATAAAATTACAAATTTACAAGTTGTTTTTATTAGATAGAATATTACTGAGGCCCACCATAAAGCTCTAGATGGAAATTGTCTAGCATGTCTTCATTAGCAAAAGGGTCCACCTCATCTTCAGGCTGGGTGGCAGATGCTGATGCCATAGATTCGTCGTCCAGATCAAGAATCTCGAGGACTTTCTTTTTCAGGTCTTCTTTAGAGGATGATGATCCTGGCTGGTCTATCAATAGTTGTAACCTTTGGGAAACGCTTAAGTTAGAAGAAATGACCAAAGGCTGAGCTACAGCAGAATCGGGAGATGGTTTAAGAGCTGGGATGATCTTGGTGGGGGCCAGGTGATCCCTAGTGAATTTATCCTACCATTTGATTAAGATACTTCAGACTAGATTGGGAATATAAGTCCATTCTTCATTAACATCCTCCGAAATGACATACTCCCATTTTAATATCCATGGTAGTTCATAAATTATCATGAACAACATGAATAAGGTCCTTTGATCAGGATGGTTTTTATTCCATTTACAAAATTTCATTTGAAAAGATTCCTTAATTTCAGGAGGAAGGTATTCCAAAGTAGGACCCCAAATAAGAAAAAAGCTCTTGAACCAATTAGGGAGTTCTTTTAGAGCTCTAAGCTTAAACTGGATAAACCAAGTATGGGAATAATTTTGATTTTGAAAACATAACACATACTCCCATGCCTTTTTATAATCCCAGAAATTATAAGAATATGGCCTAATTTCAGGATGGATAAATCTTTTAGCCCTTTCAGGGCTAGGGCCCCATTCTTCCAAAGAAATAACATTTAAAATTTGAATTTTGGAAAATGCTATGGTGTTAGCAGTTTCACCCCTATGATGATGAACGATGTTAACAGACTTAGTTTCAAGTAGAAGGGTTTCATAGAAAATTCGAGGCTTATTCAAGGGAGGAAGATTATCCCTTAAATATTTTTCAGCCAGAAAATTTGGGTGTTTATCTAAATCATTCATTTCAATGATTGCAACCGACATATTCATATATTCATGAAAAGGATTTTTAGCGATCTACTTCTCCTTACCCTTATTCTATGGAGAAGAAGTCATCAGAGGCTTTGGATCATTAGGGGATGACTTGATAAGAGCGGAGGAGCTCTTACTTGGAGTCATCTGGCTTGAACTTCTAGTTCTTACCCTGCAAAAATTCTCGAGTTAAAAAGTCCGGGAGTGCGTTAGTTTCACCTTTTATAAATTCAATATCAAAATCGAAAGCATAAAGAATTCCCTGCCATCTTGCAAAAATTTGTTTGGATGCTGGATTTTTAACATCCTTAAACAAAATGTCTTTGGCATCCTTGCAATCCACTCTTATAAAAAATTTCTTATTCAAAAGATCACTTTCAAATTTAGAGACAGCATGGACGATAGCTAGCATTTCTTTCTTAACAGTAGAATAATTCTTTTGAGTTGGTTTCCAGACTCCAGAGGTGAACCTAACCAAGTGTTCCGAGTTATCAACTTTCTGTTTTAAGATTCCCCTATATCCTACTTCTGAAGCATCGGTTTCTACGATTTTAAAGGCTTCTGGGTTGGCTAAAGCCAAACAAGGAAGTTCTTTGACTTTTACTTTCAATCTCCTAATAGCTTTAGTGTGTTCATCAGACCAAGGAACTGGGTTCTTTTTCAACCTTTGATATAATAATTTTGAGTCATGAGCTAAATCTTTACAAAAATCTTTTATGTAATTGAGACTTCGAAAGAACCTTTGTAACTGTTGCTTGTCCCTAATTTCATCAGGGAACTTATTAGCAAAGGATATTGCTCGATCAATCGGAACTATTAGTCCCTTATTAATATTATGTCCCAAAAAGCGGACCTTTGAAGAAAATAGTTTCATTTTCTTTGCCGATACAACTAATCCTACATGTTTCACAACTTTCAAGAAAATATTCAGATGTTTAAAGTGTTGTTCCAAAGAATTAGAATAGACTAAAACGTCATCAATATAAACAATAGTGAAAGCAGTGTAAGGATTAAATATATCATTCATAATATTTTAAAATTCAGAAGGAGGATTTTTCAATCCAAAAGGTAGAACGTTCCATTCATAATGTCCAAAGGGGACATTAAAAGCTATTTTGTACCTGTCCTTTTCGGCGATCTGGATTTGCCAATATCCTGATTTCATGTCGAATTTTGAAAAGATGACTGCCTTATTTAGTCTATCCAAAAGATCCTTCTTATTAGGTATCGGATATCTAACCCATTTCAAGGCTTTATTTAGAGGTTTGTAATTTATCACCAATCTTGGTACTCCTTTTTCTAATTCAGCTGCATTTTTGACATAAAAAGCGGATCAACTCCAAGGAGATGAGATTTTCCTGATTAACTTCTTATTTAATAAATCTTGTATTTCAGATTTACAAATTTCCATCCGCCCAGTATTCATTTGAATTGGCCTGGCTTTGGTTGAGATTTTCTTTTCATCAAAATCAGGCTCATAGGGTAATTCAATTATGTGCCTTTTTCTATACCAGAAAGCATTGGGTATTTCAACACAAACTTGACTTTCGAACATCTTTTGGATTTCATCAATTTTTTCTTTTATCTTGCTATTTTGCAGCTGCTCTTCTATTCTCTTATGCTGCATTTCTTCTTTCAAATGGTACAAATAGTTTTCTTTCCTTTTTATTTTTTCTTGAATGTCATTAATATACTTATGCTTTGGTGGTTGAGAAAACCTAAAGATTATAGGTTGACCATCTACCTCAGTTCCAATTTCTTCTTCCGAAACAGAAAAAGGATAAAGCATATTAATGAATGGTGTTCCTAATATAAGAGATTGGTTTAAACCTTTCACCAGAACAAAAGGAGTTTCAAAATAAATACCTTGATTTAGCACAGCAGCGTTAGACAATTTAAATTGAATTCCCATTTTTTGGCTATTAATGGCTGTATGTAAAACCTGGGTAGTTTTCTTAAAATACCTAGTAGGTACCACTCCCTCGTTTATACAGTTAAGATCGGCTCCTGTATCTATTAGCCCTTCAACTGTAAATGTATAGGTTCTATCAATCACAACAATTATCATCGCATACCATTTCTGAGCTATCACTCTATCTATGCTATTAATGAATTTCATGGTATTAACTTGCTCTTCTTGTAGGGATTCTTTTCTCACATGTTTTATTTTTTTCTTGAAATTCTTCCATTAGATTTTCAAATTCTAATTGCTCTGATTTTTCTTCTGTATCTTTTTCCGAAAAAGGGCGATAAAGTTCTAGAATTCGAACCCTATTTTTTAACTCTCTAATTTCTTCTTTCACATCATGAACTTCGCATTGAAGATCATTGAGAGTAGGTTCTTTCTGGTGAATTTTGTCATTCATCCTGTTTACTGTAGTTTTAAAGCTATAGTTTTCAACTGGTTGTCTTACATTAGTTACAGCTGGCTGCGGGTTACTTGGTCTTGC